GAGTCCATACAGATTCCTCCTAAACCTTTCTTGTTTTCCCCTCCAAAATCACCAGATCCCACCATTGAATCGCTATGATTCATGGTTAAAATTGAATCTGAAAAATATAATCGGTTGTTCAGTAAAAGTGTAAAACATTCATATTTTTACTTTTTATAATCAAATGGTGTCATTTGTTGATTTTTTTTCTTTTGAATTTGCCTCAGCATGCCACCATTTACATTCGAATTAAGCAAATCCTTCCTCGTGGAAGATTATCGACTTACAATGGAGATTCATGACGTCCAACAATATTCATATAGATATTCTAATCAATAAAATATCTGTAATAGAGATTGAAATAAATAATGATATTCAGTACAACTAATATTTTCGTAATTGAAAATTCAATTGGGTGGGAATCGTACATAGTCTTTGCAAGATTTCTAGAGATATGGTAAATTCTACCATAACGTTTTTGACAATTGTATGATTAGAAGAGGTAAATGAAAGTGATTTAGATTTAAGTAATAAAGGAAAAGGAGAAAGGAAAGTTCAGGGTCCAAATTTGGTAATTATAAGGAAGTTTGAGGGGTTCCGTTGCAAATTAGTTTTGGAATTGGTATGTAATAAAAAATAAATGAACAAAACATCCGGTTATGACATTTGGATACTTTCTTGATTAAATTGGAGATGATACATAAGGTTGGGTTTCGATTAGAATGAATGTGATGATGAAAAGTATAAGAAGAGATCTTCATCTATGGATCAATATCTAGATGAATGTCAACATCAAGGAGGTACACATAGATGTACCAAATCAATTCTCTTCTAATGTACAATTCATGAGTGAGAATAAGATTAAAAATGATCAGGGGTAAACATCTCTTCTTATGTTTCTCAGTGTAACTTCCATTTTCATATGTTCTTTTGCCTAGTATATACTATGATAAAATTAATGATAACATTAATTGGCGGCCAAGGGAGGGGGGATAGTGGTGGTAGTGGCGTCGACGACAGCAACTATGGTGGAAGGGACGGTGTCGGTGTTAGTCATCATACAGTAGTAGGCTATGTTTTTGTTTTTTTTTTTTTTTTTTGTGGAGAGTGGTTTTGTCTGTTTAAAAAAAAAATGGGTAGAAATTAATTGAATTATATGACATGCAACAAAATGATAAATTCCGTATAAACAATGAAATACATGGGATTCAATTACATTCCATGCACAAACCAACACAGACAAATGAAATTTATTTACCATAATTGACCATTTCAATTCTTACATATTATATGAGAGTCCTGTAAACCGATTTAAACGATCAAATAATAAGTTACTTTAAGATATCGGTTTTCACAAATCATTATAACAATAGTTTTGGAAAACTCTTAAATCGAAGATAAATACATATTTCACCTAATCTACATACAGTTTTATGTTCGATATTAAAATCTTTGCTTTGATGATCTTACAATTTAATTTGATTAGTACAAAAAAAACATATATAAATTTAAAAAAACACACAAAAAATAATGCTAGTATTTTACGTTTATTATTAAGTCTTATATCCAGAGATGTACATAATTTAGTATGAACATCCAACCCTTTTAGGTTCCTTCGATCAACCAAAAAATGTACAGTCTTAATCTTAACCGCTCATTATTTTGAAAACTAAGACTAATTTGACTAATGATCTGGAGCCAAAGTGATATTTCTTTAAAAAAATCAACTATTGTCTTAATTGCAGTCTCGTAAATCAAATTTCTTTTAGTTCGACTTTTGATTCAGATTTGATTATTATTTTTATATTATGCATCTATGTTTAAAATTGTGGATTTTAGTTGTCTTATTTTTATAAGTATTAGTATTACTAGGGACGGACCCCAAAAAAAGTTTAAACGGTGGCACCACTTGACTATAAGAAATAAATATACGGAAAAGATTTCAAATGGTGGTGTCATTTGTGTAAGAAAACGATACTAACAGAATTCGAACTCGCATATAGGGTGGAAGAAAAACCTTGCAAACCAACTCTATCAAAGAAAACATGTTCTCATTGTAGTTTCAAGATACATACGGTTACACACAACAAATTAATACGGTTATACATTTCACAGACCTATTTTTTTACCCTTCAATAGAAAAATAATAAGGCACGTGTCACCAATGACACCATGCTGGGTCCGTCCACGAGTATTACTATTATTGTTAAAATGGTCTTAAACATGGGATTAAAATTTTGTACACGAATAATAATTATAAAAAAAGAAAATAAAAAGTCAAGAAAGTAATCAAATGGGTGAAAATAATGGAGATTGGAGAGTGAAGTCTAACACCGACTTCAATATTCAGCAGCCCATGCCCCACGCCCAACTTTGGAGTTAATTGAACCACGTGGCCATCCAGCCACAAAATATTGACCACTTATAGTAAACGGGCCCACCAGCGTTATAAACAATCTAGATTTTTGTAAACGTTTTTTCTATTATTTATGTTTATCATCATACATTTTAACTATTTTTAGTTGCGTTACAATCTGATCTTATCTATATAATTTTTAACTTCAACCCAATCTTATTTTTTTAATAATTAATAATAAACCAATTCAATTTATAAAAATAATATCAATTAATTTTAAATATAAAAATAAATAAACAGATCGAACTATATTTTAAAACGTGATCATAACTAAAAAAACTTATCATACGATTGAAAATAAATAAAAACAAGTCATAAAAATAGATAATGAATTACATATTTAGTATACATAAATAAGAGTATTGAAATAAAGAGAAAAATTAGTGTGATAAAATTATGTCAACATTAATCTTCATTTTAAGGGAACTGAAAAATACGAATTTTTCATTTTTTTTAATATCCCTTTTGTCCCATCCCCAATCTGATTGGGTAAAATTGTTGTTGGTGGTACTCTTATATATTGAGTAAATTATCATTTTCGTTCATGTGGTTTGGTGTTCACAACGATTTCTGTCTATATCGTTTGAAAACTGTTTTTTTCATTCTATGGTTTGCGTGTCCTTTCATTTTTCATCTTCCATCCTAATAAAGTTAAAAAAAATCTCGTTAAGTAAGGAACATCGTGCTTTTTTGTAATAAATGACGATAAAGAACCAAATCCATAAAATTTGGCATACCTAGGGACCAATATGTATTATTATATTATATGTAATAAATACATGTTTTTTATTTATTTTTTCATTAAATCTTCATATCTTCCACTTGAACCCTAACTGAAAATCAAGAACAGGAATCATAACTCAAAATAAAAATACTAATTCAAAATCAAGAATAATCCAGATTATCCAAAAACCTGACTGAATCAAGAACAATGAAAAACCCTAACTCTTAAATCAAATCCTATTGTTACTAGTTAGTTGTACATGGATTTGTTCCACCCCAATGTTTGGTTTCTTCCACGAAGCAAAATCATGATTTGGTTGTAGACGATCGAGGTAGCCTGGTGGTTGAAGTAGAAGAAGATACAGGGTGGAGGTATGAAGACGACCATAGATAAAGGGATCTAGGTTGGAGAAGATGAACAGAGTTAGAGGTATGAAGATGAACCCCAACTCAGGGACGAACTCAAGGATGAAGCAAAAACACATACACACACGAAGCAGATCTGGCAATTGCACACACAATATGGCCGAAAAGATTGTGGAGATGGAACTTTTTTATTGGGTGCTTGGGTCTGCCTGTGATGGAGGTGGCAAGTGGTTAGGCCTACCGATGATGGAGGCATAGAGAGTTGGAGCTGTTGAGAGGTGGCCAAAGTTGGAGCTGTGGGGTTCCGTTCCAGATCTTTATATATATAAGTAATTAAAAAAAATAAAGAAAATCGTTAGTTAATGTGAATTACATATTTGGTCCCTATCGTCTGAAAATATGGTAACAATATTCATTAATCAAGATGTTCCTCATTTAACGGATTTTTATAACATGGTTAGTTTGAGGGACAAAAAGGTTAAGGAAATGCAAACTGTAAGGATGAAAAAAGTAGTTTTCGAAACCACAGGGAAGAATATCGTTATAAACACCAAACCACACGTAGCTTACTATTATATATTTTGTTTTTAAATAAGTAGTAAGAGTGAATTATGGATTTGGTCCCTATGGTATTTCAAAAGTTATGGATAATGTCCCTAAAGTCGATTAATAATGGATTTGGTCCCTGTGGTTGTCATTTTTTATGATTAGAGTCTCTGAGCCAAACGGCCCATCCACTAGTCCCGTTAACTCAACGGCTAAATTGTCTATATGTATTTCTTTTTGTCCTTTTGTACATTAATATAAAATTTCATTTTATATTAAGAAGATCGTCGGTGGGGATGTCTTTAATGGAGTGAGGTCGGTGACGTGTGCTAATCACCGGTTGGATGCTTAGTTTCTTTATTTATGAATACATAAACAAACAAATAAATATTAAATTATACTTATTTATCTTTATCTAATATCTTTAATAGGAAAAATGATAAAATAAGGGTACTTTAATCTTTTTATCTATAAGTTAACTGGGTTAACAGAGTCCATTAGTGATAAGAACTCTAGCCATGAATAAATAACAACCACAAGGACCAAATCCATAATTAATCGAGTTTAGGGGCGTTAACCATAATCTTTGACATACCACAGGGACCACATCCATAATTCACTATAAATAAAATAACATATAAAAATATGTAATTTTTATAGAAATGGATTTTATTTTGTTTCTACCAACAAATAGATGTCTATTAAATTAGCCATCCGATGACGGTTTATCTGTGACATCAAAAACCAGATCATGTAAACACCATTAGATAAAGACCAACATCATCATTTGATGTTAGAACTAATACCGTTAAAAGTTTTTGAAAAAAGATATCAGATAAAAACATAATTTCAATTAATATTTATTGACTTGAA